TAAATTAGGTAATTAATATGCACGGATTTTTACCAAAAATTAATCAAATCTGCGCATGTGTTCAGAGCATCTATGTACCAAGTTTCATCAAAATCCAATGAGTGGTTCTTTAGATATCAGTGGAACAGTCATAGAACAGCTAAAAATTAGCTAATTATCATGCAAATTAGGTAATTAACGAGCATGGATTTTTACCAAAACCTAATCAAATCTGCGCATTGGCCCAGAGCATCTATGCACCAAGTTTCATCAAAAACCGATGTATGGTTCTTGAGATAGCAGTGGAACAGTCGGACACACATACACACATACACACATACAGACACACTAACTGCAAAGACTCCCATTTTGTGCTTCGCACATGGGAGTCAAAAATAGGTTCCCCCAGCCCTTTCTCAGCTGCAAGACTTACCACTGTCAAACTTGATGAAATCTGTAATTTTTCCTGTGCTGATATCCACTTTGGTGGTGTCATTGACTTTAATCAATGGGTCTGGGTAGCGGATTGTTCTGGCATCATGGGTTACGAGGTATGGAACTCCTTTAGGTGCAATACCCACTTTCTTAACTTTGCACAATTTATACTGCAATGTAAAAAAAAAAAATTCAACTATGTACATGTAAAATCATTAATACCATTGCAGAGGATGAATTCTTGGCAGGTTTAAGCTAGTTTATTTTAGTTTAGGCTTGTCATTTTTTGAAACAGTTCTCTCCCATGTCAACAATATCATCTCTTGTCACAAATTGACATCCGTAGCACAGACTGCTTCTAATAATATATCAAGTAAAATTCAAGTGGCTGTCAATATGTTTAGATGCTGGGTGTAATTCTAAATTCGTTTATCGACAAGACAGTCATTGTAATACTAACCTTGGCTTCCTCGTTTGTTATTCTATGGGTAGTAAACCGTCCTTTCACATCAAAGATCAGTCTGAAGTTTTCACCTGTCTTTTCAATAGTGATTACATCTGGAGAAAACAATACAAGAATTAAATTGAGTGCTCTTACACTGCCAAAACTTTCAATGTTTCATTATATAACTCAGAATCACAATTTAATCTGTTCTTCTCATGGGTGATGCTATAATGACATTAAATGGCCAAATAGCGACCGTATCGAGAATTTATTAATATTGGCCAGTTTAGACCATAGCTAACCACAGAATGTTAGCATGGCTTCGATAAGGCCAGATTCTGTTTCTGCTTTTAGAAATTCCTTATTGTACATTTTATAATGACCTAAAAATCGAAATCACAACTTCAATGAAAATATTTTACCATATTCAACTGCACCCACCAACCTTCCACTATGTTTGGGTTCAGGCACAGTATAGCACCCAATATCAAACATAATACTCAGACTGTACTGTATAGTCATGAAAATGGGTCATTGGACATGGTTTAAGTTTACCAATAATTAAAGGGTGGTAGTCATCGTGCCACACATGCGCGAGATATATGGGTCTCTTATAAACAAAGATGGCGACTTTGGCTATAACGCAGATTAACGAGTACAAACTGAGATGTTACCAAGCTTTAATTAGGTACTAGTATTTTTTAGCTGATTGGAAGGTATCGAAGAAGTAACCGGCAGTAATTAGTGCAAGTCATGCCTAGGTCAAACCTCATACTTGAGATTTCAATTAGAAGAGCGCATTGGATTATGGGAAAATCAATGTTTATCAACACAAATGCTATGCATGGGCAGTGCGACGACCACCGCCCTTTATATTATAGCATTTGTTGCAACTATAGTGAAATTGCATTTTATGATTCTCTAAGGAGGGTGCTCGACCGTGTCCATACCAATCTAAAATGAAAGGATTGATGAAATTTAGCCAGTCAAAAATATGGAGTGCTTTTCTAAAATGACAAAAGTTTGTCACTTGTTTACTTGCCCATGAAACCCGCTGGATATGTTATATCAGTTCTGACTTTGCCGTCAATCTTGATCAGACGCTGCATAACAATCTTTTTGGTTTCATCACAGGTCAAAGCATACTTGAGCCTATTCCTCAGAAAGATGATAAGAGGCAGACATTCTCGGAGCTTGTGAGGTCCGGTTGATGGTCTGGGGGCAAACTTTCCAGTCAATTTATCAAGCATCCAATGCTTTGGAGCATTGAGACGCTTCAAGTGCTTTTTGGGCCCACGTGCCTGTAAACAAAAAACAAAGCATTTATTACTGACTGTACAGAAATACAAGTTAATGACTGCCATGTCTAAAAATCTCAAGTAGCAATAAAATACAGGATGTTAAAACACCCCTTAAATTATTAGTTATGGTTGTATGATTTATTTGAAATATTAAAATCGAAGGAAGGCATTTTATGTGTGCCTCAAGACACTTTCACCATTTCACCATCACATACAATTTTTTTTCAAAAGGCGGATCTCCCAGCAGTCAAGGTGGCTCAACTGCATTTGTGTATGTGTATGAAGGATTGGGTCTTTTGGAGAGCACACTGGTCTTGCGACATCAATTTCGACAGAAATTGATACATTTTTAAATAGAAAGAATTTGGTAATTTTGCAAACTGAGCAAGTATTTAGCACTTCATGCAAGTCATCAACAACTATGAAAAAAAAACTAAACTTACTAACTTAGGGGGTCAGATAAACAACATTTTGCTAAAGTGAGGCCTACATGTAAATTAGAATACATGACACATGCATGGATTTGTTGACCTACAATATGAAACTACATACGAATATCAGACCTCTAATCATTAGTGGTCTGAATACTAATACATAGAAACCGATTAAAGTATGGATCAGTATTGTTTGTTAGAATAAAAACAGAGAAATTAGTTTAAACAGTAAAACTAGAAGTATGTAATTTCTCAAACAGTATTCGAGGAACCAGACAAAAAACAAACTGCATTCATTTTTAGATATTGAAACAGTGCAAGTAAACATTAAACATGTACGAAGTGTCAACAAGTAGTCGCTGCTTACTTGAGTTGATTAGTAAAATTAGGCTTTTAATGCCTGCGCCTCTCCTACCTAGAATGAATTTCCCGTTTCAGTCGAAATGTTACGTATTCACGTAAAAATACCCAACAACACCGGCCATTTTGAACCACGGGGAAAGGTTGCATCTTGGACGACAAAATCACTCAAAATAAAGAAATTGGCCAAGTGAAATGACAAATTAGGGTGGCAAATATATACACTGTGAAACTGAAACAATGATGACCATGTTCCATTTGGTTAGACGTTCCCCAGATAGCAGATGGTTGTGGATTTTATTTCATTCGATGAAACATGTAAACTCACCATGGTGGAAGCTTTGAAAGAAGAGACCGAACCCCACAATTCTTTGCGACACTTCGCTTCCGGAATGATGTTATTAAGCTACTTAGGTGAGTGTGAATAAGCATATTCATTGATTTTTTAGGAAATGTTGCTTTTGTATTAGTTATTTTTTGTATGTGTGTAAAAAAATATTGCCTAAAATATATTATTAAATATTTTGATGAATTAGAAAAGAGCATAATTTAGCATTTAATTCGAAAACAAAATTTGATTTCGTATTAGTCTTTATTTTCAAAAACCTGAGGAGTACACAACAAAGATGGCGAACGTTTGCCACTGAGTAATCGTATACGCAATCGCTCCTAAAAAAATAACTTTTTTACTCCATTGCTCAGCATTTATTTTCCCAAACGCTGAAGCATTTTGAAATTAGCCAATATGTTTCAAATGGGAAGCTGGTTTGGTTATGGATCCGCGAAGCCAACAGGCACAGAAACGACGAAGGAGGGCGAGGCCGATAAACCAGAGAATTCTGATAAGCGAGAAGAGGTCGCCGAAGGAGAGAAATCAGAATCGGTGACAGAAGAGCGCACGGGAAATGCTGAAAATGAGAAAGATGCTTTCGGGAAAACAATTGAAAACATAGATGCAAATATAGAGGTGGCATTGAACAGTGCAAAGGAATGGGGATGTAAGTATTGCACATTAAAATCATTCGCAACCAGACGTGGCCGATACGACGTTGATATAGTTTGCAACATGGTTTCAATTTTGTCGATGACTAACGCTATAACTAATGCTGTGTTTTGTGTTATTTTACGTCACCCTGTTTGAAGCGTGTTGGTTATGATGTAGAAAAAAACTCTTCCCCATCTATGTTTTCTTCATTATTTGAATAATTAAATTAAAGTTTAAGTTTAATTACTAAAAATCTAAGTTCAAAGTTTTTTTGAGAAACTAGCACTAAGTAATGACACATAATACATTGCAGTTTGGCTGGAAAACCTAATATTTATTATTTTCTTTTTATTGTTAGCATACCTGTTCACGTATGCAAAAGAGGGATCTAAGATCGTCACCGACACTGCAACAAAAACAGCTGGATTTTTAAAGGATACAGTGGAGGAGAAGGTAATATAACAATTTCTTTTATGTTTCACGGTTCAATTGCTTTTAAAAAACAGTAAATACATAAACACATGATTGCCGTGAATGCATGTGTATTTGAGCTTCATTGTACAGAATTTAGATACAAATAATTTGAATCAACAACATGTTCGAAACTTTTGCAGTTTGACAATTTTGAAGATATTTCGCAAGAACTGAATTTCACAAAACACACTTTGACTACTCAGCTTACTCTTTCACATTTTCGTAGCTACAAAGTTTTCCCATATTCTGCCGTACTCGTAAAACTCAAACTGCTCCAATACAGAATACATGTATATTTGCAGTTGATTACCTGATGATATAACCTGCTCTGAATATTTGTGTACAATTTCTTTGTTTTTACTTAAAACTGACCTATACTAATAGATGAAAAATTCTAAAATATGCGGTCGCTACTGTCTGTTTGGAAAAAAAGTCTTTATTTACAACTGCGTAGTCTCTCTGATTCATACCACCTGTGCGCATAATATTTTGAAAATTAATTTACAACTGCGTAGTTTGTCCTGATTTGCAGATTCGACCTGTCTGCATATATATACATGTATATCATTCTGTGATCACATGAGGATACAGCTTGCTCATTTGAATAATCTTGTTAATATTCATGTCATGTGCCTGGTTGTACACAGCTGTGAAAAATATTAATATTATAATAATAGCAATTGAAGGTTAGATATAGAAACAGCTGACACAGGTAGATGTAAACAAAGTATTATGGAAGCTATTGCGCAGTTACTTCTGTACATTGTTTTCTCGACATTCTCGTCATCTGCATTATGTCTTGTTATTTGATTGTCTCTAATTTTAGTTTTGCATATGATTGAATTACTTAACTAAACTGCAGTTACGTAGCAACGTAGCCTTGGTTTGTTGAACATTTGTTGGTGTTACTCAGTAAAAACTGATTTTCAGATGGAAAAAATATTTCTCTTTGCACAGTTTGCAGTTTGCATGCTTTTGATTTCAATTGGTAAAACCACCAATTGTTATAGTATGATGCATCGTCTGCCAGTGTGTGTGAGTTTCCAACTGTACAAAATATGAAACCGGCAAAAATTAACTTTCACTTCATTATTGCCCTGATAGAATCTTGTATCTCGCCACTACAACTGGTCGGTGGTCGTCCTCGACTGGAACACAAAATTAGAGTCCTGCACGGAAATGCTTCCGACCAGGACAATTGTCCTATTGTTATTATAATTATGCAGTGACCGGCATGCATCCTGGCAGTGGTGAATTAGAATTTGTAAACAATGTACCTACCTGTAGTTGCCTAGTGTGCTAGCGGTTTATAAACAAGTCAATTTCGTGAAATATAGCACCTCATTGTTTGTATGTTAACACTTTCTGATGATACAGAAGATCTTTAATTTGAAAGCAAAAATACTGTTAAAACCACTCCCATTCAGATATATCGTGGTCAAAACAGAGGTATGCTCCTCAAGAAAAAACAAAGTGTCTATAATAATATTGGTTAAAACATCACTTTGCTGGTCATAGTCAACCTGCAGCCTGTTTTGTTGCTCAGTTCTGTGATTGTGTTGCACATGAAGGATGTCTCTTTCAGAGACTTGCATATTCCAAATCTGGTATAATTTTGTAGTTGTGTTCCCTTTTTAAAGTTTGTCCAAAATACTGTACGTGTTCAATTTCTATTTATTTATTCAGTATAATTTCCATCGTTAACTGCCAACTGTAGAACTTTCACAATTTCACTATTTATGTTAAATTTTGAAAAAAGTTGATTTGTCAACAGCAATAACAATCTAAATGTTTCTTTTGATTACCTATCTTTATTTACTGTCAATGAGCCATTTAATTCAAATTAGTATCACCCGCAGCCAGACAATATATGTCTGGCAAACATTTCTCCCCAGAAAATATTGAAATTAACATACAACAGTATTGGAATGAAAGTGTAAATTGCATTGAAGGTTGAATTTTGAACAAAACTTACAAAAATGTACCAGTCTTCTCGTGTTGTATTTTGGTTCCACTATGCTACATGACCCCCCATAAGGTCATGTTTTCATTCATTGATGCCCAACAATCAACAACCTGTTCAACATGAATCAGATTTAAAATAACACTGGTATCAATTGGAATATATTTATTTACTAAATTTGTATACAAATGCAAGTACTGCCTCAAGTGTAGTCCAGTTCTTGATCACTAGTTAACAAATATTCATATCATGCACATTCTATATGTTAATTACTCTGCTAGTGGATTGACTTGCTCTCATCAGTTCCCAATAAGATGCTCAGTGAATGAATCGATTCAAATGTGTAGTATTATATTACAGTAATTTTGTACAGATGTACACATGTATATGTATTGTACTGTGATTCTTATGTTGCCATTCATAGACCATTCTGGGTGATTTCCACAAAGAACAAAATAAGTTTGTTAAAGAAAATGCTCAGAAGCGCTCTGATGCTGCTGTACCACCATGGGTTGGATATAACGAAGAAGAGCAGATGAAGAAGCAGATAATGGCCCTGTCACAGGTAAATATGCTACCAGATAATGGCATTGTCACAGGTAAATGTACTGCCAAATAATGGCGCTGTCACAGGTAAATAAGCTGCCAGATAATGGCATTATCACAGGTAAATATACTGCCAGATAATGGCGCTGTCACAGGTAAATAAGCTGCCAGATAATGGCATTGTCACAGGTAAATAAGGTGCCAGATAATGGCGCTGTCACAGGTAAATATGCTGTCAGATACTGTGGATTACTTTATTTTCGCTGGAATTAATTTTCGCTGAAAATGATTTTCGGGCATTTTGTATGGAAATTAGTTTCCCTGATTTTTGATGAGTTTAATGTGAAATATAGGAAAAAAAGTATATTCGCTGGATTTTATTTTCACGGAATCTTTCCTTCAGTGAAAATAGCGCAAATAAATTCCAAGCGAAAATAAAGTATTCTACAGTAATGGCATTATTACAGGTGAATTATATGCTGTCAGATAATGGCTTTATCACAGGTGAATTATATGCTACAGATAATAGCATTATCACAGATGAATTATATGCTACCAGATAATGGCATTGTCACAGGTAAATAAGGTGCCAGATAATGGCACTGTCACAGGTAAATATGCTGTCAGATAATGGCTTTATCACAGGTGAATTATATGCTACAGATAATGGCATTATCACAGATGAATTATATGCTACCAGATAATGGTATTGTCACAGGTGAATTATATGCTACCAGATAATAGCATTATTGCAGGTAAATTATATGCTACCAGATAATGGCATTGTCACAGGTAAATAAGCTGCCAGATAATGGCGCTGTCACAGGTAAATATGCTGTCAGATAATGGCATTATCACAGGTGAATTATATGCTGCCAGATAATGGCATTATCAGAGGTGAATGATATGCTGCCAGATAATGGCATTATCACAGGTGAAATATATGCTACCAGATAATGGCATTATCACAGGTGAATTATATGCTAGCAGATAATGGCATTATCACAGGTGAATTATATTGCACCAGATAGTGGCATTATCACAGGTGAATTATATGCTACCAGATAGTGGCATTATCACAGGTGAATTATATGCTAGCAGATAATGGCATTATCACAGGTGAATTATATTGTACCAGATAGTGGCATTATCACAGGTGAATTATATGCTACCAA